GATATAATTACCATCGATTTTAATCGTCACAAAATAAAACAGATAATAGTAATAATTCTAAAAAAATAATAAAAAATATTAATATTATGAAAATATTTGATATCAATATAAAGAATAGCATCAATCTAAAAATGAAATTCTTAAAAAACATTTAAAATTAAATAAAATATCAGCTAAATGGATGTTTAAGGTTCTGTATTATATATATATATATATATATATATATATATATATATATATATATATATATATATATATATGTGTGTGTGTGTGTGTCTGTATATGTCTGTGTATATATATATATATATATGTATATATATATATATATATATATATATATATATATATATATATATATATAAAATTTCTCCGATTTAACCAGTAGAGAAGACAATATTTATGAATAAAAATGACACGAGGATAACTTGTAATTGCTGACGCGTGTCCTCCAATGTTGACTATATCAAACCAAAATACGAAAAAAAAAAGTCCACATTGGACGAAACGCGTCAGCAATTACCAGTTTTCCTATTGTCATTTTTATTCATATATATATATATATATATATATATATATATATATTTTTGAACAACAAAAATATTAAAAAAATTATAATCTTCAGACACACTGGGTTGTATATTAATATTATTTCGTTTTTATCATTATTTCTGTTAGATTCCTCGACTAGTTTCAGCCAACATGGCCATCATCCGTAATATATATATATATATATATATATATATATATATATATATATATATATATATTTTTTTTTTTTAAAAAATATGATTCCATCGCAACCAACAAATTACAATGTTTCGAAACTGGTCAGCAGTATTGTCGTTGAACTCAACAAAAACACACACAGAACTACAACATCAATCAGTTAGACTTTTAGCAGGGAGTCGGATGAGATTAGCCATTGTAGCCAGACAAAAAAAAAATCATAAAAAAACACTTCAACGCTACATGACTCCATATAACAAACACCGCTACCACAAGCAAAACAGTCACTCCTTGATAATGAAAAACAAGAACAAGAAAAGCTAGAACAACCCCCCATTCCGCGTATAAAAGGCAGGATGTGTATGTGTGTGTGTGTGTGTGTGTGTGTGTGTGTGTGTGTGTGTGTGTGTGTGTGTGTGTGTGTGTGTGTGTGTGTGTAACGAATGCACGGCCGCAATTTTCGACAGATTTGCACCAAAATTTACATGCACATGCTCCAAGTTAGCGGGAAGGTAAAGACCGACTTTGCATTTCCCAACTGCCATCGATAGTGGAAATAATCCATTTTTTTCATGCTTCTACGGCAGTTTTCATGTAGTTTGCGGCCATTTTCTACTGGCCAGAATGAGAGCCTATAGCTGGCTGCCATGAATAAGCAGGAAGATTCTACTGGCCAGCGTGAGAGCCAACAGCTGACTGCCACGAATGTTAACTAGCATGCAAAAAAAAATCGATAGCTGCATTCGCCAGAAGTAGGACATTTTAAATCTGTATGGCACTTTACACCAATTGGCTCATTCGCTTACTTAAACTCAACGTTGATTCTGATTCCGCAGAACGGGTTTGGGTGTGAAAAAATATTTGTTAACATTCTTTTTTCATTCGGTTTTTCCAGTTACGAGTTCTTTTTTAAAGCTGATCGTTTTGTGTTCCTTTTGTTTAGTTCTTTTTTCGTAACAGATTTAATGTTTAGTAAAGAGCTTAGAAAAAATTTTCAGTGTAAGATAGGCAAGAAGTAAGGCATGTAGCAACATCAGCACGGCAAAGGGCACTCCTTTAAAGTCAAGGAGGGTCAAAAATATTTTAATTCAAGTGATAGCGATTGCTGTATGAGTCGTACAATTTTTGAATCAATCACGGGCAACGCCGAGCCATGCTGCTAGCATAAGATAGATTTCAACTGAGTAAAATGGTAATCTAATCAGGGATTAATTGACTCGTATATTAACTGCAATTAGATAATTTGAAAAAAATAATAATATAACAATTTATGAAAGATAGACATTTCACAGATCAATGTTTAAGACTTTTTGAACGGAGGAAACTTAAAAGCCTTAAAGAGGATCCCAATTTTTCGAAAATTGTTGACTGGCGCTGCGGAATCCGAAACAAAGAAATCTATCCAATACCAGAAATCATATCACTTGAAGACTTTCAGTAGCAGGAACTATTAAACTGGATAACACAGGTAACTGTCAAAGAAAACCATGACATGTTGACATACGACATTATTTCAAAATATTTCAATTAAATGTTAGAAGGGAAACCCCAATCAATACTGAGGAAAGCATAAGGGTCGGTGCACTTGTGAAATCTATTTCGCTTGAAAAAAGAATTTAATAGAAAGATTTAATAATTTTCACCTAACAGCAGCAATGGTAAACGGTGAATATTAGCATTACCGTTGACATTTATTGCTTTTTCAGAAAATTGAACAGTTTACTTTCATTACAAATAATATATCGGCAAGAAATTTAAAAAAAATATCTTATTATAGCAGCAGAATCTCTTGAAAATAGCACAACTCAGTAGTTTTCAGAGAAATATGTTATTCTAATATATTAGATGAGAATCACCCACACATGTGTGTACACACACACACACACACACATATATATATATATATATATATATATATATATATATATATATATATATATAGAGAGAGAAAAGATAGAGACAGAGAGAGAGAGACAGGCAGAGCTTAGACAGAGACACTGAGAGGCAGAGGGGAGACGGAGATAGGGAGTGTGAGGCAAATTTTGCGCACCATAGGTGTTAAGTAATAAAAAATATTTTAATGTCTAATCTGTTTTAGTAGATCTAGTTGAGTTGCCACCGAGGTCGACAGAACCTCAGCCTGTTGAATTGTTTTCTGTCTGGCCATTCAAAAGTTGTACCCAAGAAATAAGAATGATCCTAAAGAAAGAATTAAATATGGATGCCTTAAAATGGTAGCGGAAATCCTATGATGTATTAATGAATCATGAAGACACAGAATTGAAATAGGTTTCGAAAAAAGGAAAAGTGTATTTTGAACCGCACATAAAAAATGTTAAATAACAAGCAAATAAAATGTTCATGTGGAATTATACTTTTAAAAAGATTCTCCCTGTGGGGCACGAAATTTGTCTAATCCTGTATATATAATGGCGTGCAAGTCTTTTGAGCCACGTTGTTAAATTAATTACTTTTGATAATTTTAACCCAAAGTTTATAGTGATTATCAGTATATATTTCTCAGGTTATTTAATGACCTTTCAGGGCTAGAAAACAATTACTGCACTTTCTCTGGTGCTGTATGATGGATGATAGAGCATCTTAAGCGTATCGACGTTGAAAAAGATGACCATGCAAAAAATACTCATTCCAAACTGACAAAACCACCTTTCAGCGTTTTAGAGATATTAATAAGATCTTGTTGTAAAATGTGGTCTTATGACATGTCAAAGTATGGATTTACTAATTAGTGTCGCTGCATTTGGCTCGAATAACTGCATCAGTTAGATGTGGCATTGAATGGAACAATGTCCAGATTTTCTCATTCGAATGCTTTCCATTCTTTATTTTACTAATCACGGAGTTCTTGGAGATTACGTGGTTTTCATTTTTTGTCTTGTTTCTTCATTTCCAACCATACTCGTTCAAGTATATTGTGGTCAGTACGTTGTGCTGGCCAGTTTTCCAAATGTTGAATATTTTCATCTACAAGTGAATAGCGAGTCGGATTGAGGAATCGGAGAGCAGAGTTCAAATTCCAGTCGAATACATTACATTCACGTACGTACTAATAACCTTAGGAAAAGTATGAATCCTCTTCTTCTCACCCACCAGCTATAGATAAATAGCACGACAGACGGGGTTCTCTAGCCTTGCATTGCAACTGGTCTACTCTAGAAAGAATTGACATCCTACCGCTGGAATATATCTGCCTCGTCAGTCATGTATCGAAAGTTACCTAAGCGTGTATCAGGCATGGAATATAACATGAACAAGACTTTGTGCTGGCCGTTTTCCAAATGTTGATTATCTTCATCCTCAAGAAATCTGTTGGTACATATTTAAAAAAAAAATCTTTTATCAGTTAGATCTCTAACCATTAATTCTAAGAGTTGCGTACCAACCAATATTCAGTTTAAAAACAAGATTTGCCTCGGCTATATAGTGAGTGACATTTTATGCACTCAGAGCATAATCGATTTGTGAGTAGAAGTGCCTTGCCGAAGGACGCTGATTGCACACTTTGACAAACGACAAAGGCGACACCTTTTCCCTCACTTTTGCCGAAAAATCTCCCGTTTTCCTCCCCCTCACCTCATAATGTAACAACGCACAACGACTTACATCTTCCTCTTTCATTTTTTCCCATGCCCCACGACACTTTCCAATACTCACCTTAACTCACCGTGCTTAAACTTAATAAGAAATGATTGTTCCTTGCAACGTTCTTCAAGCAGTGCGCATGCGTGTTTGAGCGGAGAATGGGGCTGCAGGAAACGACATGGCTTTCTTAATTGAATAAGACACGCCTCGCTACCGTCCGACCGGCGACTATGGCGACGATTATTCAAGCCTGCGAAAATCACGCTTATAGACATTTAAGCCTTCGATTTTTAGTCCTCATTCCTATTTCACTTTGAGATCATTTGATGTCTTTCTTTCTTTCATTTAGCCTTATTTAAATGCAGAATTTCTCTTCCTCTCTTACTCTCGCTCTCCCTGTCTCTGCACTTAAACTTCTGCCGATTAGTATTTTGTCTTTCGTTAGAGTTAAGATTTGTTCTACTTAAGTAACCTGGAATTTTATATTCTAAATTAGAATAATGCTTTTAATTAATTCATTCACTTTCCTGTTCTTACTGCTGTGTTTTTCAACTTGACATTTGTACTATTGCTTCTTTCTTTGGAAAGGTTGCTTCTTTTTTTTGTTTGTTTCCATTCTCTTTTCTTTCTCAGGTCTTTATCTCAGTTATGCAGCCACTGATCTGTAATCTATGTTTCCTTATTTTTATATTTTGCTTTCTTATGTTCTTTCTTTTTCATTTTTATGTCTTACTTCTCTCGCATCATACATTTGTTTCTTTTCTTTTTTCTTCATTCCTGTTTTTTTTTTCCCCATTTTTCTTCCTGCTTTTTTTTTTCGTTTTTCTTCAATCCGACTGTTTTGTTTCCATTTGGAATTTTCTTCCTTTCTGTATTTTTTCGTATTTTTTTTGTTTTTTTTTTTCATTGCTGCTTTTATTTATTTTTTTTTTGTTTTTCTCCAGTCCAGCTTTACTTTTTTCGTTTTTCCTCATTCCTGCTTTTTTGCGTGTTTTCTTTCAGTTTTCTTCATTCCTGCTTCTTTGTTTTTTTTTTTTTTGGTTTTTTCTCATTCCTGTTTTTTTTTTCTTCGTTTTTCCTCATTCCTGATATTTTCTTCGTTTTTGTTCATTCCTGCTGGGTTTTTTTTTATTTTTCTTCAATTCCTCATTCTTCTTTTTTTCATTCTTTTTTCTTTACGATTATTTCGTGTTTATTTTCATTCCTTTTACTTAAATTTATTTCTTTTCCTCTATTTCCCATGAATTATATTCCTTTCCAAGTTACTTTCATTTCAATTTATTGACTTTATTTCTTTTCATTCAATTCTTTTATTTATATTCATTTTTATTTCATCCAATTCAATGGCACATCTTTCTGTATCTGTTACTTAATTTTATTTTATTTTATTTGCATCAGTTTACTGTCAGTTTTGTCGTTATCTTGCTTAATTTCTAATTTTGTATTTTTTTATATGTAACATTCATTACATTTATTATATGTTGTACTTCTTCAATTCAAACATGTGATGTTTTATTTGATTCTTTCATATATGCCTTTCTTGCACCAGTTCTTGCTTTCATTTTTCTCTCTTTTTCTTCCGTTCTTTCTTTCTTTCATTCATTCATTCTTCCTTTCTCTCTTTCAACATTTTTTTCCTTTTTTTATTTTCTTCTCTCACGTTCTTTTCCTTTATTTCTTTCTGTTTTCGCTTTTATTTCTTGCTTTCTTCTAATCAAGTATCTCACTTTCGTTCTTTTATTCTTATTTTCTAAATTTCTTTTCTCTTTCCCCTTTTCTTTTTTTTTTCTTTTTTTTTCTTTATTTAGTCTGATAACTTATCTCATTTCTTTTCTAGATTTTCAACTCTTTCTATCTTTTTCTTTCTTTCTTCTAAAAAAGGTATCTCATCTGTATTTCCTTTTCTTTCCACTTTCATGTTCTTTCTTTCTTTCTCCTTATGAAGTACACAATCTTTATGTCCATCTTTCTACTTTTCTATCATATTTTCCATTTTTTCTTTCTTTTTTTCTTTATTCTAACCACAATTTTTACCTTTTCTATTTTTAATACCCATGACTTTGTTGCTTTCCCTATATTTTTACCTTTTTCTATCATTCATTTCTTTCTTTCTTTTGCTATGCACAAGTGGTACTTCTTTCTTCAACTAGATTCCGTCTTTTTTTCTCATGATTTTTATTCAATCTTTCTTTTCTATCTTCTTCGTCATCCCCGTCATCCTTTTTTCCTTTCTCTGATTTTTTTTAAAATCCGTCTATCATTTTGTTTTACTCTTTTAATCAACTGACATCACTCAATATTTGTCATTCTTTTTTTCCTTTTAGCTTTCTTTCTGATCTTTCTTCTTTTCTCTTTTAAACTGCACTTTTCATTTTATCGACCTAACTTTCTTCTCCATGTTATTTACTTCTGTAACGTTTTAAGTATATTTTGTCTTTTGGAGAAATAAATTCTATTCCTTTTTTCCCTTCTTATTTCACACAACTTCTTTTTTATGCCGTTTCTTGCTACAGACATTCTTCATTTCTTGTTAAATTCCCTTATACTGAAACCTTGACAGAACATCTGATGCTATCCTGAAATGCTTGACCTCGGAGAAGAATTTCAAACTGACGCGTTAATAATCATTCGCAGCATTATTTTTTCATCAGTAATTGCAGCATTCTGTCCTTGATTATCGAATATTTGTATTTGGAAGGTGTTCAAACGTTTTACAAATATCCGTTTTGATTGGGAATGGATGGGAAAGAATTACAGTAAAACTTTAAAATATATATGTCAATGGTAATAGATTTTCTGCTTCTAAATGTATAAAAAGTAAGAAAATCTTTAGGACATCATTTTAACGCCAATAATAAATTGCTATCAGAAGTTGCTAAATAATCAGATAACCTGCTATATTTTTTCACTGATCAGCACGATTGTAATTTTTTTATAGTAATATCGAAATCTGAAAAATGTATATAAACGTAACTAAAATATTGATCTTGGCGCCTGATTGATGTATTGTTTTATTAAAACCATCATAATCAGTGTTTAAGATATGTCAAACGAATTAAAAGAGAAGAGATTGGCCTTTTGGTTTTGTTTCTTAAAAAACTATACCATTTCAAGTTCGATTTGGGACTAATCAATGTTTCAAGATTTCAAGAAAAAAACAAGTTCAAATGCGAGGCAGCATATTTAAATTCAAAACGTTCGAAAAAAAAAATAGCAAGTTCAGAATGCGAGGCAGCAAAATATTTAAATTGAAATAAAATGAAATAACCAAGTTCAGAATGGGACATAGTTCAAAATGAAATTCAAAATGAAATAGCCAAGTTCAGAATGGGACATAGTAAATTCAAAATGAAGTAACCAAATTCAAAAATGAAATAATCAACTTCAGAATGGGACGTAAATTCAAATGAAATCAAATTCAGAAATAAATTCAGTTCAGAATGGGATATAAAATTCAAAATGAAATAGCCAACTTCAGAAACGTAGCAAATTCAAAAATGAAATAATCAAGTTCAGAATGGGACGTTCCAAATTCAAAATTCAAAATAATAACCAAGTTCAGATTCAAATTCAAAATGAAGTTCAGAATGGGACATTCCAAATTCAAAATGAAATAATAGCAAAAATGAAATATGAAAGTTTGAATCGGGACTAAGCAGATTTATTATGGAAAAATGTTTCGAACTTATCTGCGCGTTTCAGTAAACAAATATCATGGATTAAAAAATCAACTGGGTGGTTGATCAGATCATTTAAAATAGCAGCGCAGTTTTGCGTACATTTTACTATCAATTCTTTAGAAGAGGCTATTCTTGAACGGATAAATTTATGTCAAAGTTTCTGGCACTCTCAATGGTACGGGAGAACGGAAGAAAGAAAAGAGATGGATAGACTGTATATAGTGTTAAAAAGAGAGAATAAGAGAGAGTTATTCAAAAATGTAATGATATGGGGACCATAAGGAAAATCTTGAAAATCCTAAGCAAGAAAATACTGAATGTACATATCAAGACAGAGTTTGAGAAAAGATAGGTATAGTGAGAGATTTTAAGCGCTGAAAGTTGCATAAAAAACATACACCTTTCATGAAGTTTTTTGATTTATTGATTACTCCTAGAAGATAAAGCATTTCTGTAGTAAAGTTTAGTTGAACATTATTGCTTTATCATGAAAATATTTAATTTTAAAGTTAAGTTGTACTATATTTATGGGATAAAATTATCAGTATCAGAGATAGAGCGTGTGTAAATAAAAAGTGAATATTGAAGTCAACATGAAACAGTCTGTTTTCATGCTAGACGCAATCGTCAGGCCAGGATGATTGCGTCTTTATATTGACACCCGCTCAATCACTGATATTGAGAACTTTATACCATAAATATAGCACAACTTTATATATATATATATATATATATATATATATATATATATATATATATATATATATATATATATATATTTATTACTTGAGTGTTTCAATAGGTTCTGTCAAAGGCAGTGACGTCGAATCAGTCTGACGCGGAATAGACCGATTATTTTCTGACACCGAATTAGACACTCCAAATGGGCTATGCTGAAACGTACCAAACTGAACTGGTCGGGGCTCATTTGAGCTACATAGACATAAAATCTCCAAGTGATCTAAGTTTTCTTAATTAAAATTTACTTCTCCCACGTCCAACTCGTTTAACGAACAAAATCGTATATCGTTATATTAACTCAAGACAGCTTTCCCTAATTGAACTTAAAACTGAATCTAAAGAGATTAGACAGAATTATCTATAGCATTTTATTTGATTTAATTTGAGTTCTTTTTTCTCAATTTCTGCATTTGAACAAATTGCCACTTTGTAAACTGTCTCTGTTGAATGATCCATGGAAACAGAACACCTTTGTGCATGCGATTTAGTCAGCGATTTTTACTTCAGTGAAAATGCAAATCTGCTCGTGGCGAAAGGGACAGCGAATACGATCGAAAGCTGAACTGAGACCATTTTTCTAATTTGGCATATTCCCAAGATCTATGCCCTTTAGACAAACACAGATTTACACGATGCTATGCACGTTGTCAATTCTCCGTTTCTGACAAATTTAAGATATTGAAAAAAGAACCACGAAGAATCAACGAATCCGAACTGACAGTGGTCTATTTTAATGTAATGCAAAATTCAGCAACACGTTGATGTATATTCATAGAAATAGCTACAAGTTTGTGTCGAAAATATCTTGGGAAATATTGCATTGACATATCAAAGCCATTCTATCTTAACATGCAAAAGAATGAGCCACGTACAGAGATATTTGTTTAGGAGTACCAAATTAAAAAGGATTACAAAGAATGCGAGAATATTTTAAATAGGCGTACAACATGAGTTATGATTTTAAAAATACAATTATTAAATATGAAAAAAAAGATAAGGCGTTATCCTTATTACAAGAGCCTCATTAGTTTAATTCGTTTAAACAAATACATGTCCGTTTATTAGCATTATTTTGCCATTCAACTGAATTTTGTCAACAATTTATTGAAAAATAAAGTATTTAAAATGAGACTATCACAAATTACTGCTAAGAACCCACTAAATGAAACACATACGAACTGAAACTAATAAAGGGCATCCGCATCCTTGTTAAGACGAGAAACTACGTCCAACAGCAAGGCCTCTAATCAGGAGGCTTTGAGGATCGTGGAGCCACTGTTTAATTGCTGGCGTTCCTAAGTCCACCCTGACGCGGTGTGGCATCACCTGTTAGGGTCCCAACTATGGGCAAATAGTTAACCCCAAAACTGTGGTCAAAACACTATGAAAATGCAAAAATAGATTTTAATACTAACAATACGTTTTCAGTAAAAAAAAAAATAAATACATAAATTTTGAAGAAAAAATTATTACTAGCAATAATTTTTAAAAAATATATTAACAACAATACATTTTTGGCGAAAAAATATTACCAGCAATGCATTTTGAAAAATATATTACCAGCAATGAAAATCGTGTCGGCATTAAATAACCCATTGAGGTTGATATGCAGTAAAACAAACCCAACCACACCAGGATTTTAAGCAATGCAGCGAATATTTGTGAAAACTATATATCATACAGACGCTGTTCATTCTATATAAAATCAAGTAAACAAAATTTCAAATAACTACTGGAAATATGTATATAACTTCACTTTTTCACTCTTGAATCTGTATGGAACCTGTGTATTCGAGTAACTAACATCAAATAGAGATTTCGGTTTAGTTAGATTTATTTTTATGCTAAGGCTTTCGAATATCTTTATAACCAGCTTAAACAAAATGCTTTTTGCTTACCACTTGACGTAACAGAATTCAAGGTTAGGTGACATGCAATCATGTCGCAATCCCTATGACTAGTCAAAGGGAAGCAAACGGACTGGCAATGATTCTGTAATTCATTGTGAGATGTTTGGATAAATGTTATAACATGTCATTTCGATAGTTCTCCATAGACCCCTGCTATTTTTCTGTGTAGGGTCTTGCTTGCGAATAGAACTTTCAACCCTATTCGATGAATAGTGATTCGCGATATTATTCTTCGGAAAATTCCATCATGCTCATTAATCAAATTTTGCGCATATTAGATCTGATGACATGAATAATTATCTTGTTGGAATAACCTAATATCAGGTTAAACAGAATCCAGAATTAGACAAAATTAGGAATAAAACAGGTATTTAGATGTCAGTAAAATTTTCAGACAAAACAATGTCGTAAAATATGTCACGTGTGCACTTCCAACACCATTATGGATCCAAGATAATCTACAGAGTTCTTTGCTGTAGGGAGTTATTGTCTCATGTCATTTGCACCTTATCTGAATCTAAACGACCGCATGAAACAAACTGAACATTGATTTATCAAATCATGCCACGTTTCGAATTCTTCCGGCTCCAGTTAACGTGTGCATGACTGCCGTTGACGTGCGCTGCCTTAGTGTTAACAACGACAGCCTGCCAGGTCTTCTGCTTTCATATCGCATGGAAGTTAAAAAAAAATGCTGAACTTACATGCTGGAAATCCATCTTGCAACATCTGCATTGACAATGAATGGAATACGATTCTGTACCTTTTTTCTATATATACATGATATGTCGGAAATACAACAGGATTGGATACACAAGCAATTTATTTAAATTCTAAACAGCAAACTACAGTGTTTCCCTTTCAAAGTAACACCCCTCGAATCTAATGCACTTTTTCATCCTTCTCTGCTATACTTCTATGCACTAACAGGCCTTTATTTGGATGCCGCTCAGCTACGTTGTTAGTCTCTCCACGCCTTCAAAATAGGTCCCTGTGATGATCCGCTTGAGATAGGGGAAAAAACAAAAGTCGCACAGAGCCAGATCACGTGAATAGGGAGATGGTTCCCGTATTTCTTTATGCTTTCGTTATTGAATCAATTAGCACTCAATAAAAACATTCAGGAACGAATGTTTTTATTGAGTGCTAATTGATTCAATAACGAAAGCACCAAATTTAATCTCTCATATTTAACATTAAATAGTTTTCAACTCCATATTACGGGAAATGATCTTTGACTAGAATAATTATGTGCGATAGCAGACCTTTAGGTCCGAAAAATTAGAGTTCATATTCTTGTTTGCGATCTTTTAAAGACTCTGACCTCATTACAGCCAGGCTTGGTCTTCCGCAACACTTTCTCTTACTTACAAACCAAGTGCAGCAGATCCGCCGATGTTAATTTGCACTTAGGTGCTGTAAGATCACTTCAGATACACTGGGTATCCCATAATACTAATGCGTCTTTGAGTATAAAGTCTACCCCGGGATGATATGTAGAGAGACACACCACAAAATGAGTTGACTTCGACCTAGTAATTATCTAATATGAAGACAAACCAGAATGTTTCCTTTTGATTTGCATGTGTCTAATTTAGTATTCTATATGGACACTTCTGTGGAAGAGGAAGATTAGTTGCTGTGAATACGAAGAGGAAAAATGTAAAACGAATTACATAAGAGTGCCTAGAGGCAAAAGAAGAAAACTAAGTGAGAGAATATGTGAGAATATCAAAACATTTTAAAAGACTAAAGCAATTTAATATAAAGCTGAAGCCCGTATACATTATAAATAAAACATTAAGAAGTCGCTTGAAATATCCATTAAAAATTCAAATAATTAGAGATGTTAGACAGAATTCAAGCGGCACAAATTATGGTGCATTTGAAATTCTGTTAAAATGTTGGATAAATTCAGAGAGGCAGGAACATAGATGCTGACACTTGTTTTGATTCATGGTCGGCTTGAATAAGCCTAAAATATATATGGCATTTAAGTTGAATATTTCTGCTAATAAGATACATCTGACCAATGTTATGAAGATAGAACAGGAAGAAAGTATAAATTATAAAGAGTCAGCAAAATAATATTTTATTCTTTCTTCCGTTTCATATATATTTTTTGCTATTCATTTTTTTACTTGTTATGTTAAACGGCTGAATTTACAAGATGGAGTCTGATAAAACTCAGCTTACGCTAACAAGTCTATGTGAAGGCATGTCAAAAACTAGCAGAAGCCACCTAGTGGTCAGCCGTATACTTGAAAATTCAGGAATATACACTTGAGATAAACACCGGCTTTTAGCCATTTCAACTTTGGTTTAAATATCAGTACTGACTTCTGTAGACTTCCATTTTCGATGATCTGACTGTGGTTATTAAGAGCTCGCCTGTCCATTAGTTGAGCTATTTCTACAAATGTTTCTATGTCCATTAACGGAAGAAGAGAGGCTGATATATTTCGGAACTTTCTTTGACGTTCTGTCAATTATCTGCAATTCAAGACTCGACAAGCTCCATTTGACATTTATATATTTCGATTCTCTCTTGCTTTCGATTTTCTGTTTTCCCTCTTTACGTTTTTCTCTTCTTTTTTTTCTGAAAAAAAAATCTTATACATTCTTTTTTGGATTGCTTCGTCAGCAATTTATATTTATTCTCCAGCATTTTTTTTTCTTTCAAATTCTTTTTCTTTTCTTAATTTCATCCAGTTTTATTTAATTTTTTCAAATACATTTATTTAATTTTCACTCTTACTTTAATTTTTTTCAATGTATGTTTCAGTTTTATTCTTTTTCAAAACATTTTATTTTTTGTATTTCATCTCTTCCAAATTTCTTTTTTTTTTTCATTTTCCTTTCTTTAACACTTTTGAGTCCTGGCCAATGCTTTGCCGGTGGTAGAGAAAAAAATACGTAATACCCAGCCACCGGCTGAACAGTGGCAGAGAAAAATGACTTAATGTCCAGCCACCGGTTGAACGGTGTGTAAACACTTGTAACTATTTTTATATCTACAGTGGAGCATTAAATACCAGTTATTTGCGAATTTTGATTCAAGATGTCAGGCAAAAAGGGTTAAAATTATTCAGGAACGCAGGGTTCAAAGGGTTAAATATACTGTACTTTTTTTCCTTCTCTGTGTCTTTCTTACCTGCTTTCTTTCTTCTTTCTTTCTTTTTCCCTTCATTTCTCTTAATCTATTCTATCCTTTCTCGATAGAGATTTCTCCTTCATTAATTTTATTTGTTTCGTTCTAAGAATAGAAATTAAGTTTTCTTTATGTTCAATACACGTGTTCCCTTCTTTCAAAGTTTCTTGCTGTCTTTCTTTCTTTCTTTCTTTCTTTCTTTCTTTCTTTCTTTCTTTCTTTCACAAACTTCTTCTGCAACTTAATATCCGGCCCTATTTCTCCTAATCGTGACCTTCTATATGTACGTTTTTATACCTAAATAATTCACTTTCTTTTTCTTATTCATATATTCCTTATAAATTCTTTACTGTTTTTTGATGATTTTGTTTTTCTGACTTTTTCTTTCTTCAACTTTCTTTATTCGTTTCTTACTTCCTTTGTATAACAGAAGTTCTTTGTTTTCAAATTTCTCATATTTTCCCTTCAATATTCTATTTTGTTCTTGGATTATTATCGAATTCCGACCTGGTCCGTTGCATTTATTTTCATAAAAATTCCCTTCAAAAACATAGAAATCCTACTCATCAGCTCTACTCAGTTATGTGTTAAATAACAAAGCAGAATGGGTTTTATAGCATTGGGAAGCGAGCTTTCCGAGTGAAGTCAAACTCTTAATTCAATAAATAGCTATTCAATTACCTTTTCCTTTTATCTTCTTTTTGTACTTCCCAATTTATTTGCAATACATTCTTCTATTTTCTCTTTCCCTTTGCTTTATACGAGGTTGGTCAGAAAATCCTGACTAACGTAGGAAGCGAAAAGAAAAAAAAATCTTGCTCTTTGTCTAGTAGAATTTCTAAGGAGTACAGCATTTCCATACGATCGCTCTATCAACCTATTGCCAGCAGCGAGACTACGTGCACGACAGACTAAAGACATATCTTACTCTGATCAATCGATGTCGAGATTTGTTTCAGCAAGACAATGCTAGGCTATACACTGCCAGGTTGTCTAAGGAAATGTTCAAACAGATGGACGTTGTTGAGATTCTTCCACATCCATCATTCAGTCCCGATGAACAATGGCATACTTCCTCCGCGATCAGCGATTCAACACTTTTGATAAAGTGAAGGAAGCTTGTTTACTTTTTTTTATTTAAAGCCTTCGGACTGGTATCTGAGATAGATTCGGATGCTGGTTGATTTCTGGTTGAATATCGTCCAGAATCATGGCGTTATTTTGAAGAATAGATTTGATGTTGCTCCATAAAACTTTGTTGTTTCCTTTCGGCTTCCTAAGTGACTCAGGACCTTCTGGCTAACCTAATATATTTCTTTCTTTAGTCAGTGTTTTTCTTATTAAAGCCTTCGTTCGTGTTTTCACTCATAATATTCCCTTTTTGAACATTTATATTGAATTTGTATGCGTGCGTGTGAAGTGTATAGATTAACATATGAAGTAAAGGATTGCATCCTCATCCTGCTCTTTATTGCTGCAAATGTTTCCGTAGCAAGAGGTTTCTTATGGGATAGGTTTGTTAACCACATATACAATCGAATAATTCAGATTTACACTTCTCCTAGGCTGGTTGCCAACCAACAGCAGAGAACAGAGTCTGAACTCCTATTTACTCTTAGATTGCTACATTTGTCGGGCGTATTTTTTTTTGAAAGTGAACTCAACGACCTCAGTTGAAATTTGAACTGTATGCACCAATCTGATTTCCTCAACTGTTCCGCTACACACACACCCATCATATTTCTTTTAACATTTCTATATTCATATTCTTTCCACATATTTTCTTTTACTTCCTTTCCTATCCATAATAGTGCCTCTGTGCCAAGTAATATCCATTAAAACCAGGATTCATTTTACACCCTTTAAATGTCGTATATTTCCCTTCTTTAATTTTTTTCCAGGCATTGTTTAAATAAAAATCCTAAAAAATTAGAGACATTTAAATAATCCCTTCCAAATTCTGACTGAATAATGGCTGCTATGTAATGCGGTACTGAGTATGCAATATACAACAATGATTGCAATGTATTTTCCAGAACTGAAAAAGAAGGCCATTATTTACATTATTCGGACTATTGTCGCCATATTTATTACAACGTTTCGGGCGTTGTACGTTCTGTCCTTCTTCAGGTGGTTGGAATGTCGAACTGAACTCTTTATTTCGCTCACTGGGGTAGACTGTTCTAGTTAACGTGCTATGTTTAATGGATGTTAGTTATCAGTTATATCCTGTTAATTTTTTCTCTGAAAGTTCTCCACTGCCTTAACCGGGTATTGAACTCACACATTTGAGTCCTGTCACTGGATCTAACTGAAGCCTTTATCCACTGTGCCATGTATCGTTGATGTAAATAATGTACATAATACCTCATCTTAGAAATATTTACAGATACTGAAAAATAAAGACTTATTTTTTTTAGTTTGTCTCTAGAGAATCTGGCGAGATTTGCAATAAGCCGTATAGATGGAAGATGCGTTTTAAAGATGGCGAAACAAAGGAATAAATTCTACATAGTGGTCATGGAACCACTTTTCGGGTCACCCATGCACGTGATCTGACAAGAATAATCCATGATGAACTGGGTATGTGGAGAGAAGCAATATCTATAATTCATCTGTAACTGATTCCAGGTTCATTAGTGATTCTTGTGAGCTTCAGCAGATTATATCGCACACGATTATAAAACCACGACCAGCTGTGAAAACTCCTCTGCTGACAATTTCGAGTCGTTGCTTTATACGGTCTTCTAAACATATGAACTCAACCGTCTGCCTGTTTGGGTTAGAAACCTGACATATCTGATCTTGGCCTAACGCAATATCCGATTCCTTTATGGAAATACTTGTTTCCTTATTAGTTGCCGAATACGAAATTAATAATGGAATAAATTACAGACTCCAGAGTGCGTTGAATGATTGGCACGATAATTTAACTAGGATATGGTTTTGTGCAACAGCCAAATTCTTCGTTTTCTAGAGATAATGTTGTATATGCAGGGGTTGTGGGTGTGCACAAAATTCATGCGCTGCTGATGGCTCATCGTTATTTATACCTAGCAGGTACAGAAATCTTACTCTTGCACGAGAAAAAAGTCGCACTTCAGGCTTCTAAAAGCATTCTGTGCTAAAATGGTACTAACTATTTTTGCATCGTTTTCACTTTCACATTAAAGGACATTGAGCCAGACAGGAAACATTATAGTCAGAGCGAAGTTCGTTTTTATTTCTGATATATTTATGTATTTTGCTACGGACATATTTCTGTCAAAAAAGTAAAAAAAAAAACCGTGGTCGATATTTGTGTTTCAAAGTATTATTTGCATATGTACATTTCTGTAAGTAGGAATGATATTTATTCGCATGTCCACCCGAAAAGAATGTAGTCTAATGCCGAGTTTAAAGTGAGGATGATACCTGATAGACACATTTGTAAACAAAGATATCCCAGTTCCCTCGGCATTTCCCTTTTCGCAAACGCCTCAAGGTGCAAGATAATGACACTAACCAGCACGTGAGACAGAGAGTTTTAGACTAGAAAAAGGGCCTATCTGGAAATGTACAAATAATCTATTTACGCCTCTCGCTTCAAAATGTCCTGAAACCAAATTGTTTACCTAACCTCCCTCTAGGATAGGATATATCACAAGGTCATTTTTATGTGGAGTTTACATACGCATTACCTTGTCGTCGCAACCATGGTATTGATATTACACCGGCCACACTTCTCTTATTGTAATGAGAAGGATAATGCCGCAATGTAGGAATCCGCGGGACAGAGCGCCTTTTTCTCATGTTAAAATAAGGAGAGAATGGATACCATGTGTTTTCCCATCCAAAAGACCGAAAAGGGATTGTTTAACTGACCTAATCACTGAGGCAGGATATGGTCGTTTTTATATTGAGGTGTCTATACCCATGAATAGGGATACAGGCCTAGGAGAAAAAAGTAGCAATATGTTTATAATGTTTCATCTGTGAAAGTTGGTGAAGCTTGGAAAACAATTAATCTCCCCCCACCAAAAAAAAAAAAAAAAGATTTTGAAATCTATCAAGATTTGAAATTGAGTATTGGGGAGTTTAAATTCACTTATAATAAAAATGCTCATTTTATTCTCTGATTCTTGTAAAGGTAAAAAATGGGAGTAAGTTAATCCACGTTTCAGATATAACTATCTTTTACTTGGTCCATTCTACAATTTCAGTATTTCTATAGACTTTGTTGTTGACGTTCTTGTTATTTTGGTTCTTGTTCTGTTTTCTTCTTTTTCTTACATTCCATTTTCTTTATTTATAGTTCTGTTAACTACTTCTGCTCTTTATATGCGATTTCATTTCACTGTCTTTTTCGTTCTTTTTTCCATTTGCTAACATATTTTTCGAACTGTTGTTGCCCCAGTCTTTTCTAAGTTATTTTCAGTCATTGTTTTTGTCTTCTTTCGCTCTTTCTTTCTTTCTTTTTTTCTTTCCATTTTGTTTACTTATTTTTCTTTCTTTTGCCTCTTATGCTTTTTCTACATATATTTCCATAATTTTTATTTATTTCCACTTTCTTTCTTTCTATTTTCTTTCTTTTTCCTATTTTCTTTCTTTCTATTTTCTTTCTTTCTTTCCATTCAACTTATTTACAGTTTTTTTCTATTGCCGCCTCTGTTTTTCTATTTTATTTCCCATAACTTTTTTCTTTATTTCATGATTTCTTTCTTTCTATATTTCTTTCATTCTTATTCATTTCTTTCCATTTTCCTTACTTACTATTTCTTACCGCTGCCTTCTCTGCTTTTTCTACATTAATTAACATCTTTCTTTATTTCGTTCGTACTTTCTTTCCATTTTGCTTATTTATTCATCTTTCTGCAGCCACCTGAATTTGTCTATTTCATTCCCTTCTTTCTTTCTTTCTTTCTTTCTTTCTTTCTTTCTTTCTTTCTTTCTTTCTTTCTTTCTTTCTTTCTTTCTTGCCGTTTTCCTGGCTTATTTTTTTCTTTTCTAATGTCGCCTCAGCATTTTTTAAGTTTATTTTCTTTCTTTCTTTTTTTTCTTTCTTTCTTTCTTTCTCGCCGTTTTGCTGGCTTACTTTTCTTTTCTAATGTCACCTCCCCATTTTCTTTCTTTCTTTCTTTCTTTCTTTCTTTCTTTCTCGCCGTTTTGTTGGCTTATTTTTCTTTTCTAATGTCGCCTCTAATTTTTTTACTTTATTTTCTTTCTTTCTTTATTTCTTTCCTTCTTTCCTTCTTTCTTTCTTTCTTTCTCGCCTTTTTCCTGGCTTATTTTTTTCTTTTCTAATGTCGCCTCTCTATTTTTTAACTTTATTTTCTTTCTTTCTTTCTTTCTTTCTTTCTTTCTTTCTTTCTTTCTTTCTTTCTTTCTTTCTCGCCGTTTTGTTGGCTTATTTTTTCTTTTCTAATGTCGCCTCTGCATTTTTTTACTTTATTTTCTTCCTTTCTTTCTTTCTTTCTTTCTTTCTTATTTTGATCATTTATTCTTCTTTCTAATTACACTTCTCCTTTTTCTATTTTATTTCCCTTCATTCTTTCTTTCTGTTTTGCTTACTTATTGTTCTTTCTACTGTCTCCTCTGCTCTTTTCAGTTTATTCCCTTTAATTGTTTCTCGTTTGCTTGTTTCTTTCATTCTACTTTTCGTTTTCCCTAAACATCTTTTTACTTTTTCTGCCATTACGGTTCCTACTTACCTTCTTCTTCATTATGTTCTTGTATTTTCCTCTTTTTCAAATCTATGGCCTGTCGGTTTCCTCCTGTTCTTGCCTTCTTTCAATCTTTTTTTGGTTATCTTCTCCTTCCTGTGACCTTTCGTCTTTTTAGCCTCATTTGTAATGCCCATATCTCTTCTTTTCATTCATTTTTCCCTTTCATATTCAACTTTATTCTCTTGGGCTTCACTTCCATTTCTTCCTCTTTATTTTCTCTAACTTTCTCTTTTTTGTATATTTTGTCTTGCCCCGTTCCACTTTTATTACCATATTAATAATCCCGACTTTTTGTCTGGTCATTTATTTATAGATTTATTTCTCTTAATCCTATTGGCAGCCAGCTTTTATTTTCCTTTTACCAACCGCTTGTCCAGCTCGTTGAACGTAAATCTGTGGCTCGGAAACAATTACATACTACACATGAATCTCTAGTCACCAACTATTTACAGGTAAGATGATTAAGAAGAGGCGGCTCATTATAAAGGCGCTAATTACTTTCTACAGTAATTAGTAAACCCGACTAAAGGCTGGAATCTTTTCATTTTATATATCAGGCCACCCCTTTCGATACCTACTCAGTAAATCTTGAAAACTTCTACCCCTTTCTCCAGGCCTGTCTATTCTTCTGGTTAACTTAGACATTACACTCGCCCGTGCAACATCTGGCACCACTCAGATCTCAGCCGATAGGACGGGTCGCACAATTTACTGACCTTTGTGTCTGTTTTCATCATTGTCTGATAAAGCCAGTAATTCATTGGGACTCGCGAGCAAAGATGGCGTTACTTCTTTTATAAGTAGGCGTCCATTAGAGATATTCGGCGAAGAGAACTAAGTTCGATTCAGAGATTGATTTCGGTACACTGGCTAGCAGAAGGAAGGAAGGAAGGAAGGAAGGAAGGAAGGAAGGAAGGAAGGAAGGAAGGAAGGAGAGAATATCTTTCTCGATTCTTTTGATACACGGAGGTAATGATAACATATGTGAATCTCTGATTTATTGCATTTGCTATATATGCATAAAGGGAGTCATATGCTAAGAATATGAAAAATATACAGACTGATTAGGAGAAGAAATAGATTTTCAAAAACGGACTGATTTAATTAAGTGCTTTACTTTTTCACACAATCCAACACCCAAGATCATCTGAAGGAAGAGATTTCCTGAATGCGTTGTTTGACATACGAATACGGAAGTCAAAGATATGAATATCTGGAGGATATATACAGATTGACATTTCTCACACTGGACTGGCAATAGCAGATTGTCATTCCCGATATATATATATATATATATATATATATATATATATATATATATATATATATATGATGTACAGAAGGTGCTTTCAAACGTAGATGGTACAATCACAGGTCCTTATTTAAGCTAGTAAATCTTAGGTACTCTACCAAACAAGCTAATCAGCTGTGAAATTTAAAAGAAAATAAAACAACAGGTGTCCGTTAATAAGGTGGAATATATTTTAAAAACGTGAAACCTTACAACAATTACAACAATATTTACAACCTCTGCTAACAAAGAAAATAATCGATTATGACATTTTCCGATCACCAAAACCTTTTAAAACAGAAATCTAAAGTCCCAAGTTCTTGCTTACATATCAGATTTTTTTCTTAAGCGCATAGGGACCTGGATAAAAAATGGAATTAACTCCCCACCAATACATTTACCTTCTTCTTGTTCTTCTTGTTTTTCTTGTTGTTGTTGTTCTTCTTCTTCTTCAAGTTAGCGGATTCAACTTACCTCCTGTTTGTTAAAGTTATATATATATATATATAATGGTGTAATGGGACAGTAATCCCTCATTTATACATGTTTCATTAAAAAAGAACTGACAAGGTAAACCGATTCATTTTTCATTTAATGTTTCTTGTGTTCTTATAATTTGCTTTCTTTTATTGACATAAAATATGTAGAAATTGTCCGAATGCAATATACGTCCGAGCGCTTTCGTCTGTACTTTTAGGCATTATAAAGGAAGATTTGATTTTTATTTTGTATGAATCTAGATTTATAGGGATGTTTTCTAATATAAACACGGTCAGCACATTGTGGCCGTGTATGTAGTTGATGTTAATCCCTCTTTTCTTTTCTTTTTATCAACAATGCTTCCATTATTGTTAGCTTTTTTACATGTGTATAAGGTTATTATAATTGTACTATCAACGTGTATATTGCGGATGGCGTTTGCTAGTTCACCTTGTGTATTTCAATGAGAGTTAAATTCCTTATTTTCAGAGAGATGTAACATGAGTCTTATTAGGCATTTTTTAGTATATCCTATATATATCTTTATCAATTTGGTTTGATCAAAAATACAGTTTATTAAGGAACATGTTAAGTCTTTAAAAAAATTCTGGCTCTCTAATTTGCATCTTGAGCCATCTTCAGAGTGTTTCTATGGACATTTAGTCAAAGATATTCACAATCAAATATGATATTCCGTTGTGTTAACGTAGAAGATTGCTTTGCAAAGATAAATGTCGAGGAATAGACGACGTGCCAAGTGAAAGACCGAATTATTAACAACAGAAACATGTCTAGATGCAATGTAATGTGTTGTAATTTTATTGAGTGTGGGTCGTTTTGTTTGAATGTCGATGACCTCCAATATCTCAATATCTTTCAAACGCTTACTGGTTTTGGAGATACTTTGGTCAAAGAACACGAGGCTGACTCTTCCTAGGCAAAAATAATCTTTTCTCTAACTTGCGAAGCTGGAAAAAAAAAGAAAAGAAAATTACTTTTTCACTTGATTTGGCCTCCGGTCCCTTAGATAGAAAAAAATAGGTTTAGCCAAGATAGCATTTCCTGAAATATAATACGTGTTTTAAGCAGCGAATTGGATATGACTATGGTTCAGCAATCATTACTTTATACCCAGAAGTCTGTTCACTTATAAATCCTTAATTTCTCACCATGAAGACATTTTTTTCCAAACGAACCTAATTTAAAATTTGTTAAAATAGTAAAAGTATTAAACCTAGGATAAAAAATAATGCATATTTTTTTTTTTATGTTTGATAATTCGGTTTGTGAATATCGAAGTGGCTTTTGCAAAGTGTTAAGAGGTTAATTTCTTTACTGCATTATTTTTTTTTTCAATTCGGATATTTTACATTAATTGTGTAAAACATTAAATATTAACCAATACACGTCGGAAAATTTTTTTTATATATATGGGGAAAAAAAGCATATCATCTTTAATATATTGTCTTTATAATAAGTTACTTTTTTTTTCTACACAATAACTATAAACATTGTTATTTTAACTTTTACAATAAGAAAATGCAGGATAAAGTCAAATAAAACAATTTCTTGTATATGTACTACATTTTTACAAGAATGATAGCATTCTACGCACAATAAGTTGGTATACATTTTACAGGAAACGACGTATAGTCAAGAATTGGCGAAAATATTAATCCCATAAATTATTTAGTTGCCAATTAGATGTTTGGATTTGTATCATATGAATGAAACACACATCAACTAATGATCCAATGGAAACTCAATTGATGTCGTTTAAGTCTTAACAAAAAATAAATCGTCATTCTTCCAGTATGGTGATGTAATAATCAAGTTCTTCTATCGACACCACTAATCTGTATCCAAGACTAGATAAAAAAATAACCCAAGTGAAATATTGTTCTATATTGTAATTACTTATTCGTCGTTTCTCATGAATGACGTTCTCACGTCTTAGAAATTTGGAGAGAAAAATGTCGAATATTTGAAATAGAAGAAAATCGAATATTTTCTTCTGAGCCTATTCTAGGTAGTTCTTGCGATCTGTTAGTCTTGAATCACCTTCACATTTTCTATTAGTATACGTTATGGGGTAGTATCCATCGTCCGGTTGCAAGATGTGTCGCGAAGCTTAAAATATTTGATATCCTCCAACCGTTAACCGTCTCAGTACTGACCAGGTTAAGCGTTGTTTGAGTCTGGTGATCAAAACATACAACTTTTATTATATTTAATTCAGCTCACAGAAAAATATGATTCTGATCACCATTTCAGTAAGTGAATATATTACTATTTCTTTCATGTCCCGTGTGCTTTCATGTCATTGAATCATGGCTCGTCTTCAGTTTGTAAGGTTGTCAGCAATTTAAAAATTGGAGATGCTAAAAACAAACTGGGACAAAGACCTAGGAAGTGGTTGAACTAGGTACAAGATGTGTGACACCGAAGTAGGAAGGTGCATAAGTCTAGTGAAAAATGCCTTCGAAAAGCTAATTAGAGAATTAAGGAACAGGAAAATCTCTCTAGATACGTAGTGCTGAATTGTTATTTAATGCCCGTCATATGTCAGTGAATAATGTACAATCACGTCAGGGATGAAGAACACACTTGAAGAAAAATGATTGTCCAGAAGGCCACTGTGTATACATGAGCCGAACATGTGGGTAACGAGGACGTTTTAAAGGAAATGGAAACAAAAACGATACTTATACTTAACATGAGAGAGTGAGAGTTGAAAGAGAAAGTTGAAAGTGAGAGAGATGAAAGAGAGAGAAAGAGTTGAAATAATCCTCTCATAAAATAAAAAA